CCTGGAGGGCTTATTTCTGTCAAGATTACAAATGATCACAAGTCATTAGATTAGATGTTAAATGGAAAGGACATTTAGCCTCCAGATGAGGATGAGCATTGCCAATATTGCTATTCTTGATTTAAAGAGTTCATTAGAGAAGAGGTAAAAAAGTGAAATAGACGATCATGAGTGATAAGGCTTTATAAATCATTTGTAACTCGCGTTTGTGGCATAAGCGGAAAGTAAGGATCGATGAATGATGTTTTGTCATAAGTCAATGATGTGTGGATTGCGCATATTTTTTCAGCCAAAAATTTATAATTTCTGCTTGTAGTGTTATTTGCAGTTGGTATGACATCCGCGACTAGTCCAATCATCATCAACTTCAATTCACTCTTATTCCAACTGCATGCCGAAAATGATAAATATGAAGGAACAATAGTCGACAACTCCTATCACAATGCAATTACTTGTATGTCGTATTTCGACGAAAGTTACCATGGAATAAGTTTGTGCAACCTTTTCTTCGCCGACTGTTAATTTTTTTATACAACTTGAAATACCTTTCCTCTTTCTTTCTACAACAATTTATCTGCGAGCAAGCACTCCCCTTACAATCAGTGTACTCCCTAAACCGTACATCTGATGATCAGTTTATCATTTATTGATTGAAAATTTAGTTTAAGAAGAACATGTTCCACTGACCAAAGTTCAACAAATTAATGGTTGTTGAAGATATTAAGACTTTTTACCTGCTCCCCATCTTAATTATCATTCAATTTAAAATGGATTTCTTCTGTTTTGTAACAGTTTTTTTCCTTTGCAAACAGGCACATTTACATTCAGTTCATCCTTTTTATTTTCCTTCCAACGACCCATTTTTTAACTTATTGATTGAACCATTTATTTAATCAACTTTAATTGAAAAAAAAAACGGCATCTTGAAGTGATCGATGAATCATGTAAGTCGGCAGTAGCATTTGACTGTATAAGGTAAACTTAAGGCCAATAGAATATAGAATACAACGCCAGACAATGCACTGAATAATTTTAAAAGTCTGCACAATCATACAGAGGCATTTGGAGAAAATGAAACAATTATCCATAATAATAGTAGTAATAGGGAGGATAACCGTAGGAATAAGGAGAGTAACCGAAGTACGGATAATAATAACCATATGGAGAAGAATATGGGGAGCCTCTACCATATGCTGACCCCAGTAATGAAGCTAGTAAAAAAGTTCCAAGTAAATCTGAACTAGGAAAAGCTTGAGGAGCTTGAGGAACTTGAGCAGGTTGTTCAGTTCGATTACTTCTCTGACCAACAACCAGCTGTCCTGCGTTACCATTGGCGAACACTCTCTTAAATTTAAAAAGAAGAGAAAAACTGGGAAAGTTGATGCTTAGATGAACACTAACGCCTAATACGTTAATGTAATATGTGAAAATTTAATGTTTGAAACTAATAAGAAGCATGAAACTTACGTTGCCTCCTACTCTCATGTTTTGTGAGAAAGTAACAGGATTAAATGCCAATGCCAGTGCATCCGTTTCAGTAACTGATAATATTGCACTGAAAGTAAAGGAATACATTAGCAGATATGTATACTTAATGAATAATGCAATAACAGCAAACACTTTAGCTTACATTATCGTTAATGCAATCAAATATTTGGTGATAACGAGTGACAGCATAATAAGCAATCCAAATACCTGCAATATAATCAGTAGTGTATAATTGGTACCATTACAATATAGCTTGCATCTTGGCTGCGTTCCTCAGTTGAAGGAAATATTTGTAGATGTCGGAAGATAAGTCTGCTCATGAGTAAACCTGGAGGGCTTATTTCTGTCAAAATGGCCCCAAATCATCAGACTAGTTGTTAAATGGGAAGGGCATTTAACCTCCAGATGAGGATAAGCATTACCAACCTTGCTATTATCGATTTAAAAAGTTCATTAGAAAGAAGAGGAAAAGGTGAAATAGACGATCGTTAGCGATACGACTTCACAAATCTTTTGCAACTTTGCGAGATAATTCATTTTATAACAGATCAAACAATTTTCAAAGTCTTTAGGTTGGGCTTATGTTTTCCCGGCTGGAGAGATGAACATATAAATTTTCTAAAAAATTCGCGGACAATCAAAAGCTTAATTATCATAGCATTTGACATTTACTAGATCATATTTGACTGATATCTTGACCATAGCGTTAACAAAAATCGCCCATTTTCAATTTCATGTCGATATTTCGAAGTAAATATTTTTATGATAAGAGCTATTAAGAATGATCAAACGAAGAAAGAAATACAGAATGCAGAATTTTACGTGATGACTGAAATGATTAGAACTTTGATTTGTTGGAGAGAGAGAGAGAGAAGAAGTGGATGGAAAATAAATGAATGCCTCATATGACTATTAACTGAAATTACTTTTTGGAAAATAAGTAGGCAAACATTTGGCACACGTCCAGGGGTATAAAATTGAATCAAAATTTTAAACAGAAAAGAAAATAAAACAAAACACAGGAACGGACAATCAAAGAGAAATCTGCGAGAGAAAAATTATAATTTTCAAAATTTCATACTCCAAAATGATATCTATCAGTAGGCTGGTTAAAATCCCAAGCAATGAATAATCAAGTTTGATGAATTGCAAAGGGAGGGAAAAAGAGAAATGACCAATGGACAGGTCATCTTTTTGTCAAAAGCCACATGGATAAAGGAATCTTAGTTTATTATTGCCTCTTTTCACAAATGAAATTAGTCACAAGAATATGAACTCGTTATTCATTGCTATAAACCTTTATTCTTTCTGTTTTCTTCATGTCAATTTTCCTATTTTGTTATTCACATTGATTATTCTGAGAATCTCCGTAGGGAGTAAATATGGCTAAGGATTGCAAAAATTTGATTTTCCTTCGGCCATATAAATTTTGGCATCAATAATTTCGCTGTAACATTTCATCATTCCGATAAAAAGATATTAGCAAAAGTAAAAAATTTGTATT